GTTAATTTGTGTTCTCACTTCAGAACGATTCGTTTTAGTTATTCTAGTAGTAGTTACGTGTATCAAATGCCCTCAGTAGAAGCGTGTATTTTGTGAGAAGACCGTCAGTATCGGTTCGCATGGATAATGTCAAAAATGCATTATTGCTGGGGATTCTAATTAACTTGTAAAAGTTGCATCAAAAAAAGTTTGAGAATCCCTGGCATATGGCATCAATGCAAGAGATAGGAAAAAGTAATAGGAAGACACAAGGATCTCGTATAATATTGCATTTCAATATACTTACAGTAATAAAGGATTTTTTGATAAAAGCAGTCATTACACATTCAGGGTGAACACTGGTTTCACTTCACTATTACCCTATAATCCTGTACCAGCAGTTACCAGCACTTGCACAAGAAATAATTATATGAAAATGTCTATAAAAAAGAAAAATCAATGCCCCTATTCTCAAAAATTGTAGTTTTGTGTCAGGCAAAGTTTAAAAAATGAGATCGTATGAAGTAACAAATACTATTGTATTCCTCTTTGTTCAACATTCAACCTGGCATTCTCACAATTCTCTAAAACAGCAATGGAATGGTTGATGGTTGAAACAAATAAATATGATGACATCAAAAATCCTATAACACTATGGTAAAGATTAATGATCATGACATCATTTAGATGTCAAAGGGTATTGTTGTATAGTTTAGTTGAGAGAAGAGTAGTAGAGAAAAAAAGAGTTAATGAAATTAAGTGATTAGTTTCAAGAGGTGATTAAATCAATGTGGTCTGACAGGAGGGAAGCAAGAGAGGTGGGAGTCAATGAGGAGAAATTGTGGTGGGAGTAGAGAAAGTAATTCCAGTGTCTGAGACATGAGGTCAGGGGAAGGTAAGAAGATAGAAGAATATCATGAGGGGAAAGATAGGTAGGGGCACTGCTGTGACAGAATGGAGTCACGTGAGAAAGGTATCATGAAAGGATAATGGGGACAGAAGGGGGGATGGTGCAGATGGAGAAGGGCAGGATGAGATGTGTTGGAAGAAAGTGGGAGTTTTAGATGTTTTCAATAGTTTCTGGAGGGGAGTTGAGGTCTGAGACAGAGGCAGATGTCCCAGGAGCAGAGGAACATGTAGGTGTAGAAGAGAATGTTGTAAGAAAAGATGAGGTGGAACATTTAGATTGCCTGATGCAACAGGTAAAGTAAGAAGTAGGGGTAAGCACCAGGGAAGTGGCAGAGATTGCAATATCTGGATTTAGAAAGAATAATACATTATGGGAAATGCCACAACCTGGCAGGATGGCCCAAACGTTAACACTTCTATATTGACGAGGAAAGGCTCGGTATGGTTTGACAGGGTAGGACTATACGAATGTAAACTCTATGGGAGGAATGTCAAAGGAAGGTAATCTTAGTAATGTTGGTTTATGACAGAGACAGCAGTCTCTGGGAGGAATAGTGTAGCAGTGTACGGATACTGCAACTTAGTCAATGAGGCATACAAGAAGTTCATTTTCAGTCTGACTAATCCTTGTTGTTCAGGACAGTCAGCCAGGGAGATGGAAACAGTTCCAGTACAGGTTTTAAGGAAGAACTGAGGCCTGTCAGGGTAGATAATGCATGAGTCTGATATAACTATTATATTAGACATGGTCGATTGCAATGGCTGTGGAGAGAAACTCTGCCTACTTGTTTTTGGACATCGTTGGAAAAGAAGGGTCTTGTCAGGCTGAGGGGATGAGGGGGATTACAGAGATTCGATTCCACTTGGCTGAGCTAAAATAGGTGGAAGTAGGACGACGACATGAAGAAGAGGCAGTGGTGTGGAATGAGGTTGTACTGTGGGTGGTGGACTGTTATTATGTAGTGTAGTAATAAGAACAAATGGGGTAGAAATAAAGAAAACTGTACAGGAGATGGCGTGTATGATGGGATAAAGAAGGGATGTCTTGAAATGGTTGGGTTTCGAAATAGATAAAGTTGACAGTAAGCACTGAGGAGTAGTAGTATCAGTGGTTGGAGCCGATTTACAAAGACTATACCGTGTCCATGGTTTCCAGAGGCAGTTCAGGACTGACGCAGTGACTACTTTTTATCTTTCAGCATAGCTATTACACCTAAGGAGTGGAAAGAGATTGAGCAAAAATTGGTTGAGCATAGGGCTGAAACCCAAGTTTGGGGCAATCCCCAACACTGAGATCCAGTTCTCATCTCTTGTACACCCCCCTACCCACCACCACTGATAATAACGGGCCTGGGATGGAAGGGGGGAGGGGCACTAGTAGAAGGAAAATTGTTTAGTCTAATTGTACACAATAAACAAGTATAATAAGATAAACACTTGACATGCTATATAAAAAAGAACCTTTCTGTGAAAACAATATGTGAGACTTTACACAGCTTACCTTAAGCGTGGTGAACATAAGGCCGAGTTCCCCGAGCAGGCTCCAGCTACCGGCGCCACCACCGCCATCATCCAGTAAATCTTCAACAAGGCGGATCTCAGCCCCGAGGTG